TCGGGTCGTTGGGTTGCTGGAAGTATTAACTCTCCTGCGAAAAACAACTTCAATTCTACGGTACCATATTTAAAATTTAAAAAAAAAACGTATCCCTCTAAAAACTCTTAATTAGTAGTGCTAACAAATTCAACCTGATAAACATTTATCCCCTTCAAACAGAAAGATAATTACGGTTCAATCTAATTGCTGATTTTCTTTTTCAGTTTTTAAATCATTAATTTTAAAAAACATTTTCAGGCACTAACCCAAATACTTGCCAAAAGATTAAGAAAGAAAAAAAATTAGCCTATTTAAGTTAAAGATTTTTAGTTTTTAGTTTTAGTGTCTCAAAGTCCCAACTTTTTATGTACTGGTTGTAAGCACTAAACGTTTTGCAAGCAATCTGCTTAGATTCTATTACATATTTTGCATTTTTTTTTACTAACTTTACTCTTTAAATTACATTAAACCATTCCTTGTTATTATTAATCATCATAGTTTTGCTTTGTGTTTTTACAAGTGAATTCGCTACATTTTGAAATCAATATTTAGACGATACATGACGTATTTTGTTCTGCTAAAACAGAATGTTCCTAAAAAATATTTTGATTTTCTGCGTCCTGGCCGAATATATATGTTTTCCCTAGCGCCCTGTGTCAAATTGTAAAAAGTAAATCTTCAAAAACAAATATATTTTTTAAAATTAAAGGATATGGAAAAAATAAATAATATTATATAGTTAACATTCTTTTGCAAACAGTAATTACTTATGTAAGTTACTGGTTTGCACCAAATCCGCTACATGTTCCGTCCTATAAGTGGATTGAAAGTGGAAATAAAATTTAAAAAAAAAATGTTTAATATTTTGCAGCGCACAGCTACCCAGGGATTCACAGTATACATTTTGGGAACCACTGGGCTACGCCTAACTGACAGCAAAGAAAACCTGTGACATATATTGATGTGATATACTCATAATTGTTCATAAATAAATTATTGGGAGGGGGGGGGAGGGTGTTGGTAAGCGAAGGTGACCACTTTTGGCACCAAAACTGTCAATTATTCTTTTAGTTATAGGCTAATATGCCTAAACATTTATTGTTAATAGATAATAATAGACCTTATCCAGATACTTCATTCATTGTTGAAATGAGGCGCTACATTTCAGTATTAGCCCCGGGAAAATGAAAGCTCTTTAAGGGGAAATTGAAAGCTCTTGTGTATGTAAGCAGAGGGGCATCCAAAAAAGCATATGTGCAGTGTGGATGTATTCTGAATCTGACTTTTTTTTGCCCTTATCTGTATTAAGATAGAGCAGACAGTAATATTGTATCCAAAGCAAAATTATATCACTACACTTAGCCCAAACCCTAAAATGAGTACCCCTAACCCCAAATTATTTTGTTGGTTAGTGTTGTCTTGAAAGTGTGGGAGGGGGTCTGGGGAAATGTAGGTCTACAGTGAGGTACTGACACTGAGCTTAGGTTGTGACAACTCAACAAATTCCGGTACCACAAACTTAATATTTTTGAATAACTAATTCACTAGATGGACAGTTCCCTTAGTTAAAGAAATAGGCCGGTAATCTACCACTTATGTGTCTTAAAAAAAAAAATAATGCTCTTGTTTAAAGTGCTATTAAAACAATCATTCTTTTATTGCTGTCCAGTTTAATACAGTGAAGAAGGGCTTCTGGGTTTTCGGTGGCATAGAAATAGAGAGTGGGCATTGTTTTCTTGTTACAAGGGATCGCATTACAGGAGTGCATTGAGAGATATATCCTTCCAGGCTCACTTAATGTATCGGATGGGCAGCTTCTGCAAACATAAACCAGATCAGACATTGAATCTAAGAACACTCTGTTGTGGTCCATTTAACAAAATTTTGTTGTCCAAATGACGCTAGTCTCCACTCATAGAATGTTTAAAATATGTGGATGCAGGCAAACTGAAAAAACAGTTTGGCACAAGCTATGATCTTTTCTCTTCATATTTGCATGAGTTCATGTTTCACAATCGTTTACATGGAGTAGATTATATAAACTCCGTTTTCTATTCTATTTAATTGTTAAAAGTTTTCTAATTTAAAAATTATTTAATTTTTCTATTTTAAAAATTCTGTCTTTAAATAAGAGCTGAAATTACTATATACACTGATATAAAAACATTTTCATTTATTTGGATCAATAAAAGAATTTCATTTTAAAAATAAAGGATAACATTTAAAATAGCACATCAAACCGGAACAACACGATCTTTTAATAAATGATGCTCAAGTGGTAAGTTACAGTAGCAGACCTGTTAAACTTCGAACTCCTAAAATCGTACAAAAAGCACTGAGTCAAAATGGACCCAAACACGCAGCGCCGCCATTCGCATCCGGGTACCATTAGTAATTAGACTTAAGCTATTCGGATCTCATTTGTGGTAGTTTATTTTAATTATACTGAAGCATTAAGTTTACAAACATATAGTCAATTCAATTATCTTTCATTTGATACCTCATTTTGTCTCACAAACCTAACAATACAATTTTTAATAGTTTTTTAATCTCAACCTCTCACTTCTGGTACCCGGATACGAATAATCGCAGCCTTTTTCAATTAATTCACTGCTGGATGTAGAATGCAAATGCCACTTAAAATTAAGATAATCTACCACTTGAGTGTCGGCCAAGAAAAAATCCAGCTGTTCCGGTTGGAAGGACTATTTAAACAATTATTCTTATACTATTTTTAATGACAATGGTTGTACGTATTCATTCCTATAATAATAGTACTAATACAAATACACAAGAACATCTTTTAAATAGAAAAACTTTAAAAAAAAAATTGAAATAGAAGAATTTAAACAATTTAATGTTTGAAAATGGAATTATGCGTAGTTCTCCCCCAAGGCAACAATGAAGTTTTAAAAAATATAAGTTCCACGAAATCGGTTGTGGTACATGAATTCATGTAAATATGAAGGGGAAAGATCACCGGCGCTTCTTGTGCCACACTGTCTTTTCAGTTTACGCTTTTTGAGCATTCACGTTTTCCACATTCTGTGTGTGGACATTTGCGTCATCTGACATCTGGATAAAAAAAAATAATTTTGTTAATGCACCATCTTAGATGCTGAATAAGGGGTCTGACAAATTCAGCAGTAGTGTGGACAGCCGCCATTCTTCTTCATTTCGTATCTGATCTGTATCAAACATTTCGCACATCGGCTCTATTGTAGTCTCTTTTTCTTCCTGGCATATCGGTAGTTTGGCGGTAATCATTATTTAAATGTATCAGTATTGTGCTAGATAACTTTATAGCCTCTACGGAAGCAAAAATAATAATAGACTCCAATGTAAGAATAGTTGTTTAAATAGCCCTTCCAAACGGAACAACTGGATTTTTTCCTGGCCGACGCTCAAGTGGTAGATTACCAAAACTAAAAATGTTCATTTTAATTATTTCTATTTTTTTAATCTGTAAAAAAACAGAAATTTATATATTTTCAACCTGGGCTTTTAACTTAAAATCGTGGTCATACATACATTGTACACCAAAATTGTAAGAGTAAACGGGTCTGCCGTAGTGTAGGCCTACAATTTCCCATATTTTTTATTATTTTTAAAGTCGACTAAAAATTCTGATAAGAAGTCTGTAGTACCTGAAGTAAAGTTTAGAGAAGAGTGAAATGAGTCATTTTAATTATGAGTAGAGAGAGAGGGCTATGCCTATTTATTAAGATTAATTTATTAATTAGAGTAGAGTGAGTCTGGTAGCCGGTAGCTATTTCTTTAACTAGGTATACTTATTATTTTTTATACTAATCGTCCTGTAGTACCGGTATTAGGCAATACCCGTGCCGTACTAAAATTTAAATCAAGACTACATAACTATAAGTATAAGCATTAGGAATTCCTACCTCACCTGTTTTATCATCACGCACTACGCCAGCGCGTTCTTGAAGAGCGGCCATATTATTTTTTTCTTAACGAGGAGAATACTCTGGATGAATACAATATCCGATTAATTTATAATTATCTCCCTTGTAGTGTAGAGAGAAAAAAAATTATCCCCCCCCCCCCCCTGCCATATTTTTTTTTTCTTAACGAGGAGAATACTTTGGATTAATACAAAATCCGATTAATTTATAATTATCTCCCTTGTAGTGTAGAGAGAAAAAAAATTATCCCCCCCCCCCCCCATAAAGCTTGTTATTGACTCCTAACCAGTCCAGAAGCGAAGGAAGGTGTGCCATGCAGTTTTTATTATACTTTAGTGGAGGGACGGCAAAAAGCTTGGCCCGAGTAACCTAACCCTTGACTTAGATGCAATGGTTACCATAATCAGTAGACAGTAGAAACTAGAACTAGGAAGCGGAAATATATTTCTAATTTCTAGTAACCATACCAGTCAGCAGATGTACATGCTTATTCAGGTTATCTTTTACACAGGGTCCAGGTTCAGCAGTGTCGTATTGGTAATAGTAATAGACCATAACTATAAACTAATAAACACAACAAAAAATGCCCCATACAATAATGCACAACAAATATCTTTACAAGTTCCATATGAACATGTGGCTAAAAACCAGATGGATGCTGGATGTTCTTCATCTTTATTATACTTTGCTCCCCAACATTCATAAATGAACATTAGGATCATCTTAAATTTATTAGTGACAGAAAATTTTACTGTACTATTGAGAATACAATACAATATTAATTATTCTTTTAACTTTTTTTTTTTTTTTTTACTAGGTGATGCAGCAAAAATTAGTTCCAATCCCAAACCATATTCAAATAAAACTGAAACCTTCATACCAACCAATAAAAACAACATTTTTATTTTGTTCTTAAATTTATTAGTGACAGAAAATTTTACTTTACTATTGAGAATACAATACAATATTAATTATTCTTTTAACTTTTTTTTTTTTTTTTTTACTAGGTGATGCAGCAAAAATTAGTTCCAATCCCAAACCATATTCAAATACAACTGAAACCTTCATACCAACAAATAAAAACAACATGTGTATTTTGTGCATCTTATATTTATTATAAAATGAATTTTAAAAAATGTACATGGCTATCATTTGAGTGAACTTCCAACATCACAATGCAAATAATGAAACACTCATTAATTCACTACAAATAAATTTTATCTGCAAAAACATTTACTTCTGAAAATGGAAACAAAAAATGCAAAAATATTACTGATTACAGCTCTCAGATATTGCCAACAGTGACAAAACAATCTCCTTGCACTCTCAATCAAAACAAACAGGCTCAACCACATTGTGACTTTCATGAGCTTTCAAATTTTCCAAGCAGATCTCCATCACGAAATAAAAAGTATTCCTGAAATGAAAAATAATATAATTACAATTATACTACATTGCCGGTACACCAACAGTAGATATAATGATTTAAAGATCTAAAAGTAAAAATGCCAAGTCTAAACTACCCATAAATCATAAAGAAAAAACATGGACAAAAAGCTCATTACCTTTTCTTCAAGGACAACTTTTGTTCCACCATATTCTGGAAGTAGAACCTTATCACCAACTTTTACACTTGGTGGGACAACAGTGCCATTCTGATAAGAAATAAAAACCTCAGCATTAATTTTTTTCAAGGAAAAATGCAATCCGACATGATCATAAAGTATTTTGCAAAAGAAAGATTTTACAACAAATCTTAAATAAGCGTAAAAACTGAAACTGTCTTAATGACCAATGATCAGTCCTTATATTCCTTTCTGTGGTGGCTCGGCTGATATAATCGGGTGCTAGCAAAATCATCATTAAAAATATAAATATATTCCCAAGGGGAAATCACTCTAACTCTAAAGAAACGAGTTTGCTACCCATTTCCGCTTCTATCTGTGTGTTAACATGCTTTTATCAGAGCTCGTTATTCGGGTGTGAATTTTGCTCAATATATTTTAATGTTCGAGGGGGTAAACTGAGCAAATCCCAAGCTTGTGGTCTGGAGTTCAATCCTCACCAAAGACCAAGTCAAGCAAAAACAACACAAGGACCCCAGGTGGATGGGACCTGCAAACCTTGGATGGTGGGCAACTCATCCAAGAGAAGGAAACCCAGAATCAAAATCTGCAGTTTTTGGAGTTCCGCAGGCAGATACATTAATACAATGAAAAAAAATTGAAAACTTCTGCGACGCAATTGGTGCCAAGCTGTATCAATGATAATATCAATATATGGTATTCCCTTGGGCTATCCAGGTGTGTGAAGAGAGGCAATTTGCCGTCTAGGGAACCAGCTTATAGCTATAGCCCTAAAGAAAAAAATCCCAGGCCCAGATATTCAAAGACATTAATTCATGTTTTTTTTTTCTTCTGGAGTAATAAGTATTAAAAAATCGATTTATAACTTTAATTGAAAAGGAATTTTTTATATGTACTTATCTCATTGTAATTTCACCCATATTACAAATTTCAATACATGTACCTATAACTTTAACATTTTCTGAAAGAATATGGATCCTAGTATTATAAAAATCTAGTTTTTGAGACACTTGAATTTCTAGTAATGGTCTCTCAAAAACTCTCAATAGTTTGAGCTTGGGTTGAATGCATAAGTTTAATAATATTTTACTCAATCTGTAAAGATCAAGAATATACATATTTTTAATGGCTTCACGCTACAGAAAAATGCAAATGACAGTTATAGGGTTAAAATATAATAATTTTACCTCTTTCCTTGCACCAACACCAATAGCAACAACTGTTGCTTCAAGCACTTTGCCCTGAGATTTTTCAGGAAGCATTATGCCTCCTTTAGTTTTAAGCTCAGGAAGAAATCTCTCCACAAGCACTCTATCAAACATAGGGATAAACTTCTTGAATCCTTGTGCCTATAAAAGAAATTTTTTAATTATAAACAAAAAAATGAGTAATATGAGCACAAGTACACACTCATGCCTGCCTAGCATAAAATTGTATTTTTATGGATCCTCAAAACGAATGTCAATGTTAAGCAAAAAAAAATTTAAAATTAATTCCTAACAATGTTTTGTGTGAAAAGTGGGCATGACTGCAGAGTTTATGGTGCTCCCCCTTTTCTTATTGTGCCATTAGCAGTCGCTTACACATACATTAATTAGATAACGGATAATGCAGAGATTTGCAAACAAAAAAAGATAACAGTATTAACAGAATCAACTCATTTTATTTTTAGACTCAGAATCCACTCTTTTTATCTTTTGACTCCTTACTTTTTTTGTTTTTAGGTTGAGTCATCAGGGGGAGGGGTTGCCCCAATAAAACCCTAAAATTGCCTGCTCCACTGACACTAACTAAACACAGGTCTGAGATTACTCTTATGACCCCGGATAATGAATTTGCCACCAGCTCCATCCGCTGAGCCATACAACATTTTCCTCACAAAGGGCTCTCCAAACGCCCTGGCTTCCCCCGGGACATCTAGTGAGGGACACTCCGTCAACGCTCCACTGTCACTAAGATACTGTATATTGTTGGGGCCGGACTATACTTAAAGTAAAATGGACGAACACCTATTTGCAGGTAAACAACAGGTTAAATAAACAAAATGCATAACAATTTTGATGGCTAGGGTGGACTAGTTGCAAGTATGGACAGTCAGGATAAATTATTTTAATGAAACACTTAATAGAGTAGGAATAAGAGTTAAGAGTAAGAATACTAGTCTGAGAGTTTGTGGCATATAAGCTGGGCAATGTCGACAGTGGAAAAGGATAAATAGTGTGTTGGTAAATTTACACTTGGTGCGCCACTCATTTCCTAAGGCTGCCATCTGTCCAAGAATAAACAAACGTCAAAAGGGAGAGAATAATAACAATGAGAGGTCTTATATAGCACGGTACCTCAGCCTAGGGCTGGGCTCGCCGCGCTGTACATAAAAATCCTACACAGAAACTCAAAGTGGTGTGCCGAATGTAAACTGACCAATATGTTTTGGTTTTGCAGTTAGCAGTCACCTAGGGACATTATTTTAGTTGAAGTCTTTGATGAAAATAAATCCATTTGTCAAGTAGGCCTACTAGCACTAGTCAAGTGAAGTAACTAGGGCGTCTAGGGTTGGAAAACACAAACTCGATATTAACGATAGTTGTAAGTGGGTACGGGTGGGAACAAACTGAGTAGATGCCCCCCCCCCCCAATAATTAAATATTAACAAACAATAGTAATTTTTAATATTACTGGTCTGCGTTATTAATAATTATGTAATTATTTTAATAATTAATAAAATTTGAAAAATTTGATTTAAAAATTTAATGTCAAGTGAAGTAACTAGGGGGTCTAGGGTTGGAAAACACAAACTCGATATTAACGATAGTTGTAAGTGGGTACGGGTGGGAACAAACTGAGTAGATGCCCCCCCCCCCCAATAATTAAATATTAACAATCAATAGTAATATTTAATATTACTGGTCTGCGTTATTAATAATTATGTAATTATTGTAATAATTAATAAAATTTGCAAAATTTGATTTAACAATTTAATAGTAAATATATGGTATAAATATAAATAATAGTATAGGCCTAAGATAGTCATAGTACTAAGACTAAGAATAAGAATTAAAATAAACAATAGTTTTTTTTTAGGCATTAAGTATTATTAGTATACAAAAGGACAAAACTCACGCGACAGCCTCTGGACAGCACTGCTTAAACTTAAAATTATAACTTTTAGTAGGCTTATCGATGACATATTTTTTGTTCTTTTAAACTAACCAATGCAATTCAATGTGTTGTTTAAATGCCATAGTTGCTACATTACTAGTTAGTTTAGCAGGGTTAGTTCCTGCTATCTAGACTAGTGATAGTAATGTAGTCTATGGCACAATTGATTGATTCTCATTTTAATGTATATTATTTTGTGATTGATCCCGATTCATTTCATTCAATGATTCGCGCGTACTTATCAAGTTGCACTAACAGAAATGAGAAAGGAAAGTGTTTAAATAATGCATTTGTACAAACAAAGCAAGCGGTTCTTTTAAACTTACCATTGCAATGTGTTGTTTTTTTTAGGGTAAAATGTATATAACCGCTAGTTCAGATCAAAAGCAATAATATGACTCTTTAACAGTTGGTAAAAATTCTAGAATAGCCTTTGACCTTCGCGCACATGGTGTCTTGGCCTATTTGTGAGGGATACTTTATTATATATTATTACTTAATTCATATTTAATTGTAATAATTGAATAAAATTATACTAAATTAAAAATTTTGAATGTAATATTTATTTATATAGAGTAATAAATACATTAGTTATTTTTTGTAAAGTACAACTAATAAATGAGGTCATAAATTATTTTGAGTAAAATATATAAATTATGATCCCTAAGGCCTCTAGACTGACTGGCTGATGACATCGTTTTTCTCAAGGATTTTCAGCAGTCGAACTTTGCATCACACGCTTACCACGTCTTCAGTTGAAACAGTCCTTCATACGCTTTAACTGCTTGTGCAGGTACGTTTTGCAAATATGTTGCTCAAATTTTAATGTTATACTTTGTCTAAGCTATGTATAAGTAAAATAGTTTAGTTTTTTTATGTGAACATTTTAAAGCAAAATGCGTTTCGGTAGTAAAAAGAAACCACCACGTGGGTTACCGGTCATTTCCGAAATAAAAATGCACACGTCCTTACAACTAATATTAAATTTTAAAAATTTCACCCTCGTTCTTACTTATTTTCCCCACTCCCGCTGACTGAATAGTAATTATACGTCTTTTAAGAAATTTCAGTTTCGAACAGTTTGCTTTTGAACTTAGTTTGATATTTTCATTGTTGAATCATCTATGCAGCACCAGCACTGCTTAGGCTTTGTCATTGTCATTTTTTGGTCTTTACATGGCTGGTCACGCTTATAGATCTTTAGACTTTCGGAAATTTAATATGCTATATATAAAAGTGCAGAACTAGCACAACTAATTGGTAAATGTCTGGACCGCGAGCGGAATAAAAGCCACAAATTTTGCTAGGAATAACGTCATACAAAATCAGGGCTAAGTCTTTGTGTCTGACCTCACTCCCTTTAGTATGATTACAGTAGGTACTGGTAATCTTGCAGTTCCAGGTGCGACATTTCTGATCGAATTTCATATCGCGTGTAAACGTCCATGTCTTCTTTATAAAATTGGTGTTAACTCTACACTAAATTGTTCAGCACTAACCTTTTCCTTTTATTTTAACAGCTCCCATTGTACATAGCCGGTTGCGTAAATGGCGTAAACAATCTCTCCATTTTCTTGTTTAATTCACCCTACATGCAGCGTCATGCCAGATTGCTTATTTTTCAACTGAAAGCATATTCACAAAAACGGGCCCTGCCATAATATAGATGTTGGCTAAAGGGCCTTTAAAGATGTTCATTTCTGAATGCCATCATGAGCGACGTCATGTTACCCTTCAGTGCCAGTTTTTTTTTATTATGGATAATCAAATGTATGTATTAGTGTTGGGAGGATAACAAAATTTTTAACGATTCCAATAAGATTCCGAATTTACTAAATTTTCCCAATATGATTCAGATTCCTTGCCATTATTACATATATGTATTACTGTGCCCAGGTACTAACCTATTTAATTAATATAAAAGTTGAGAATTGATTGGAAAAGTTTATTAACTTGCTATTGAAGCTTTACAATATGCTAGATAACAATGTCTTGGAAAGGTTTTATACTTGTATGCGAAACAAACTTTGCGCTGTCACCGGCTTACGCCAGTTAATCAGTTAAGAATCGTTTTGGTATCGGAATCGGGTCCGATTCCAGATGCTTTGGATAAATCATATTTCAATTATTCCGATACGATTCCGATTCATCGTCCCATCATTGGTATGTATACTAAGTTTGATCTGGTTCCATTTGCCCATGCAGGAGCCTTTGTTTGGAATTATATTTATGCACCCCATTTAAATATGAGGAAAAAAAAAAATTTGGGTTTTAAAACAAAACGGAAAACCCAACCCTTTTAAAAAAACCTAAAAAACCCCCCCCCCCCCTATTTTCATTCTTTTTGCGCACATGCCTACAGTTTGAAAATTTCGTTTAACATACCAGCTTATAGGTAATCGAAAATCGGGCAACGGTAAAAAAAATACAACGAGCTATGGAAGGTTGGGGGATGTTCAAAGACGCTTTAGAAGCACTGCATAATTAGGACTTTGACACAAAATTTAAATATTGTCAATATTGTCCGATTGCAATTGATACATTTTAAAGGAGCTAGCTGTCCACAGGAAATGTTCCAGCCCTCACAAAGTAGCACTTGCCTTCTGTGAAAAATCCTCAACAGTAGGCGCAGAAACATTATAAATCCCCTCTACATGCATAGGAGCCTAAATGCTCAATAAATTGATCGTGGGCCCTTGATATATAGAAGAAGCAGCAGCTGCTTTATAACACCAATTTCATGTATCTTTTATAGAAGTGGAGTTATTTTATTAAAGATTTTTTTTGAAACCCCTTTCTTTATCTTTGTAGTTAGTGAAAAGTGTGACCCACTTTCCAAATTTCTGACTTTTATCAAAACTTTTTATTTTAAAAGATAATGCTAACAAATTTTCAGGAGACATTCTCAATGCAATATGCGACATAATAAACAACAAAACTTCTATATAACTTCAAGACTTATTTTTTAATATATTTATTTGAGAGTATTTTAAGAAAAACATGAACAGAAAAATCGAAAAAATTATTTTTAAAGGAAAAAACAAAAATACATGTTTATTGTATTGTGAGTCACAATGGTGCCTTTTGTTGAAAAAAAAATAATGTAATTAATAGTTTCAATAATATGATTAAAACGTGATAGTACACAAAAAATTAACACCAGGTACTCTAGGTCTAATTAAAATTTTACCAAAATGGTAATACCCTGACAGTTTTTTCAAAAGAAACAATGCGGCATGGACTACCAAGGTTTGACAAATATTTTATTCCAAATTAAGAATTAAATTCTTAAAAATGTCTTGTTATAATATCTGCTTAAAACCTTAACAAAGTGTCTTGACAAACAAAGGCAACTGGTTTTATACTTAGGGAAGTTTATTGTGGACCATTTGCAGCTCAAAAAGTTCTAAGGTTTTTTGTGTCTGAGCTTTCTGTGGGGAAATTGATGCTCCCAATTCGGTATTGAAAAGCCAGTCTATTAACGTGGTCAGTACATGGCACAGAACAGAGCCTCTGATTTGTTAAAATCGGTAAACAATACTGCTCTAAGTTTCTTGATATTTTGTAGAGGTTTGGACATGTTTTCTCAATGGTGCTTTATGCTTCGCTTTACACTATCTTTACATGCAGGTAACATTGCCAATGGCTCTTAATTTACCGACACTGAAACATGCAACAATACACAGATAGTATAGGATTATTTGGTTAGGGTCTAACCAAGGGAGCGTCACTATTTTAGCTCCTCTCTCCCCGTGAGCCTCCCAACTCGCCTTAGGCAAATTGTATTGTATATATAAAAGTATTAGGACATGTCCAAGGGAAATTGTTTTGTAAGGTCCTAAGATAACTATCTAAGATCTAAGACCTAAGATCTTTGCTATGTCTGGAAAACTAGATTTCTGATTGGACTTGTATAACTAGACAGACCTTCAATATGTCAAAAATAGATCATCAGTTATCAACAAGATAGATGGGATTAATTTTGAAAGTATATTTTTTTCCTCCATTTTTAGTTTAGTGCACTTCACAATGTATAGGATAGCCAATGTGTTCCGCTCATCAGCTGCCAAGCAACTGGTTCCAGTAGTAAGACGTCATTATGCAAAGGACATTAAGTTTGGATCAGATGCAAGAGCTCTTATGTTACAAGGTGTAGATCTGTTGGCAGATGCAGTTGCAGTCACAATGGGGCCAAAAGTAAGTAATCTTACATACTTATGGTGGTTAGGGACTACCCACTTCTTAACTACAAAAGCTTCTTTTTTTTTTACATTCTGTTAATTGGCTGAATTTGTTCTAATGTTGACATATTTAGCACATACTATACCTCTGTATGTTCTTTGTGGGCATATAGAATGTAAATTGTGCTACAGGAAAGATCCTTTTATAAAAACTGCAAAACAGTTTTGTAGTACTAGTGATTTTACTCAAAAGGTACAGATTATATAAAATAATTAACACCTTCATTTTCAATATGAATCCAATTTTTCAGCTCAAATTGTTTTTACGTATTAATTTTGCTTTTAGGGCCGTAATGTGATTCTAGAACAAAGCTGGGGAAGTCCAAAAATTACTAAGGATGGTGTAACAGTAGCAAAGGGCATTGATTTAAAAGACAAATTTCAAAATATAGGCGCTAAGCTGGTTCAAGATGTTGCAAATAACACAAATGAAGAGGCTGGAGATGGAACTACTTCTGCTACAGTTCTTGCTAGAGCAATTGCTAAAGAAGGATTTGAGAGGATAAGCAGAGGAGCTAATCCTGTTGAAATTAGAAGAGGTATGTTGCCCTTATAAGTTGTATACTCCTAACTAATCTCAGATCCCTTGGCATCTTTTATAATTTGTATAAATGATTTATACAATTGCTTTTATCCACTTCTGAAAAAAGATGCTTTTCTTATTTCTCATGTTAATAATTTAGCACTATCCAAACCTCCATGTATCTATTGTTGTTATATGGATTGTCAATAGTGCTACAGGAATAATCTTTAAAATACTGCAAAATAACTTTGTAGTAGGATGAGTTAGTTCACTCAAAAAGATACAAAGTTATCTTTCTTTACTTAAAATCTGTCAGTTTTAACCGTTTATTTTCCATTTTATTTTGTACTGATCAGTAATGTGCACTGTATTTAAGGAGTCTTCCATACATGACTTCTCACATCTAGGGGACTCGTCAAATCAACCAAAATAGTGATTTCATTAACTCTTTGTCTCCGGAATTTCCACATTCTGACGGAATTATCTATTTTGCATATTTGTTACGCACTACTGTGTTATCTCTAAACTGTCATAACTTTTTTTTTTTTTTTCATCAGAATGCGTTAAGTTTGGTGTGGAATTATAGGGGAATGCATGCTCTTTACCATCAATACAGATTTAGGTTTAAATTTTAACTCATTCCTTACGGCAGTGCTACTTCCATACTTAATTTATATCCCTGAGAAGGGAAGTAACTCAGTGTTGCAATTGATTTACATTTGTAAAATATTTTTTTAAGCTGCAAAATATTATTTAATGTTACAGATTTAAGAAAAAATGAATTCGGTTTAATAAACAGATAACAGTGGCGAAAAAAATAAGAATTGATGGCACCCTGTACAAACACATGCTACATATAGATACGCCGTAACATGGCACACATAGTTTCAAAGTGAAACAAGATTAAAACTTCGGTTTTTTAAATTGAAATCATGTGGAATTGCCGGAGGTCTCTAGGGATGGGAAATTTCATTGCTGTTTTTAAATAGAAATGAGAGGTGTGCTGCTATTTTGGACGCATCATTAGAAACCCCCAAAGGACGCATATAGTTCCCAACCACAAAGAATGAGTTATTATAAGTAAATGTGATTATGATTTAAGGAAAATAAAAAATTTAAATAATAAACTGACCAGAGGTTCACAAAAAAGATTACAAGTTAACAAAGAGAAATGAATAAAAGTGTAAAAAAAACTTTTTTTTTTTTTTTTTGCTGAACTATATCCATATGTGCATCACAAATAATAAAGATCACATTTTTAAAAAAAAAAACAAAGATGAAAGACCAGATCATATTATCCATCATCACAGCCACACAAATGTCCTTAAGAAAAACGTAACTATTTCCACTGCAAACAATCATGTTACTATCAGAAATTATTTGCATTGTATCCTTGTATATATTAACATTTATTATGGTAAATGTAAAATTTACCATAAATTTGTCATTTCATTTGGGTTTAGCTATGGTGAGCCTGAAAACAATCCATATGGATGTGCAGATTTGACTCAACATCCAGCACAGATGTATGCCGGGACAGTTCGGCCTGTTCTATAGTGTTTGCACACCCTCATTTTTGGAGCTAATATGAATAATATGAACATTTTGCTCCGATAAGTCACTCAATGGCATAGGGATGTCCACGTCAGGAGCTTCCAAACTTAATTCTTGAAGCATGCCAGGAATTGTTCTCTCTGAATCATTGATACCAGGGTGTATGCATCCCCTTGGACACTGACCAAAATTTTCTTACGGTGTGGGCAATATGGTCAACCCCATCCATTTACCCTTCCAAAAATATATACTTATTGAGGTCTTGTATCAATATTTCTATGTCATTTAATGCAATTTCAAATAACACTCAAAACACTCTGAAAAGCTCCACATCATAGAATAATGCATGCCACAGTTCGAGGGTTAAAAGTAATTTAAAACCAATAAATAAGAAAAGAACCGAAACGAACAGGTTTTTATGCATCGTCGATCCGCAGGAAGCCTCATTTAAAATCGATGATGGGAGTGTTGATCTGGAGAGTTACTGGATGTCCCTCACAAGTTCTTGAATTAAATTAGATCAAGTGTTTAATGTATTATAATCTTAAATAACACTACTTCAATTTAAAAATCTTGTAGGTGTGATGTTAGCTGTAGATGCGGTTGTTGAACACCTTAAAAAAATGTCCCGACCTGTAACAACCCCAGAAGAAATAGCACAGGTTAGTTGTTTTTATTTATTTTGACCTGTCGTGCAGAGTTTTATGTGTAAAATAATACCTGTCACTGCTGTTATTAATAAAATTAAAATTTCAAAGTTTATTTAAGTTTTGAGATTTTTAATTTTAGGTAGCAACAATATCTGCCAATGGAGATAAATCAATTGGGGAGCTTATTTCCAGTGCAATGAAAAAGGTTGGGAGAGATGGTGTCATCACTGTCAAGGTAAGAATGATTACAATTTGTACTCATTAATGATAGTTATAACACTTTGTGGAATATTTAGGATCGGTTGAATTCAGAAGTTAAGCAATAAAATTTTATTCACCTCTGTAAATGTCGAGGTCAATATTAACATACATAATATAAAAAATTACTTTTCATCTTTTCATAAGATGCCTTGTCCAATGTACTTAACAGAAAATGAATACTTGTAAGGGTCTCTGAATTCATTTAAGTCTGGGGGCTTTGTCATTTTTGACATGTATATGATATAGCTTGAAATAGGTTGACGCTAGAGAAACTGACAATTACAGGGTTAAAATATTTTTAATTTAATGTATCTACTTTGTTTTCCAGGATGGCAAAACTCTAAAAGATGAGTTAGAGACTATTGAGGGCATGAAATTTGACAGGGGATACATTTCCCCCTACTTCATGAACACAGCTAAAGGCAAGTTTGTGGCAAGGATTTCTTTGATTTGAGTGTTGCATCATTTAACTTTTTTAAAAACCATTGAGGAGGGGGGGGGGGACAATATCATTTATATATCAAATAATTTTTTTTCTTGTATCATAGGCGCCAAATGTGAATTCCAAGATGCACTTGTTCTGTTGAGTGAAAAAAAGATATCCAGTATTCAGTCCATCATTCCAGCTTTAGAGTTGGCCAATCAGGCCCGAAAACCTCTACTGATAGTTGCAGAGGATGTTGATGGTGAAGCATTAAGCACATTAGTTCTTAATAGGTACATATTCAATTTGTAGTTAATGCCGTGTTGTGATGAAACTCTGGACTAGAGTCACTGAAATTTGTGATGACTCATGTGTCTTCTGAACACAAATTTATGAAAATATTTTTAAATTTAATTACATTTTAGATTAATAATTTATAATAAATTTTGTAGTTTATTCAGAGATTTGAAACTTGATTGTTTGTCTCTGCAGAATAAAAGTTGGTCTTCAGGTATGTGCTGTAAAGGCACCAGGATTTGGTGACAATAGGAAGAACACTTTACATGATATGGCTATTGCTACTGGTGGAGTGGTAAGTATCTCCAAGTGTCTGTACATTTTAATGAATATATTAGCCTGATTAGTCAAGATTAAGGTTTTAATTTATAATTACGAATTTATTCTCAGGTTTTTGGTGATGATGGAAACCTCTACAAATTGGAAGATATTCAAATTCAGGATTTTGGTAACGTTGGTGAAGTTACAGTAACAAAGGATGACACTTTGCTGATGAAGGTATGCATTTTGTGTGTATTTTTTAATGCACAATACCGGATTGGTGTATTGTCTTCTGACTCTGCACCTAACAAGTATGTGCTACATTATTTGCCATGTGGGTGTGACTTCACTTTTTTGTGATATTCCATGTGGCATACATTTGTAATTTTAAAAAATATTTTTCACATTTTTTTATCTTTCTCAAATGTACCATCAATCTTGTAAACCGAAAATTAATTCATATAAAATTTCTATTCACAGGGAAAAGGTAATAAGGCCGATGTAGAAAAAAGAATTGCTCAGATTAAAGATGAAATTGAAATCAGCACATCAGACTATGAGAAAGAAAAGTTTGGAGAGAGATTAGCAAAATTGTCCAATGGCGTTGCTGTTCTTAAGGTTAGTATCAAAGCTGTGATATTATTCAAATGATTGCTAAGCATTTGTCTACTCTGATTGGCATTAGTCTTTCAGAATGAATTAAAATGCGATATTAAATGCAAGACACTTTCCAGATTTGTATATATTATATCTCTGGCATTCAACTTGCAACACATTGTATCATTCATTTTCCTCAGTTAATTAGGTGCAATACAAAGGTGCTGAATTTTTCACTATGCCTATTAATATAAGCAAATGGGTTGTCTTAACAGTTCAAATATTTGTCTTGTTTCAGATTGGAGGAACAAGTGAAGTAGAAGTGAATGAAAAGAAAGATAGAATTAATGATGCATTAAATGCTACCAGGGCAGCAGTAGAAGAGGGTATTGTTCCAGGTGGTGGCACTGCTTTGCTCAGATGTATTTCAATTTTGGATGGTGTCAAGACTGAGAATGAAGATCAAATTGTTGGTAAGATGTTTTAGAATGTTTATAAGTGGTTTTGTATTTTTTGCATCAACTCTTCCATTTAGCCTTTGTGGCTCAAGTGGTTGTCAAATGGTGCTATAATATTTTTAGCTATGCTGTGTTTTTAAGACATGTTTAATAGACATATCATTACAGTGGAGCTTACATTAGTATGTAACTATTGATATAATAATTTAATTCAGTGGCATTCCAATTAATAATAATTGCATATTTCCAGGTGTCAATATTATAAGGAAAGCCCTGCGGGTCCCGGCTCTCACGATTGCACAGAATGCAGGTGTAGATTCACATGTTGTGGTCGAGAAGGTGCTTAATTCTTCTGGAGATATTGGTTATGATGCTCTTAATAATGAATATGTTAATCTCATTGAGCAAGGAATTATTGATCCAACAAAGGTGAGTTCAGTAGCGTTATTTATTTTTGTATTGCACTTTTGCCATTTTGATGGGACTTCATTCCTTTCAAAATTCTCTATATGAAGTGCAACATTAACGCAGCTTACCTTTTTCAAGTCCACAATTACTGATGGTGGCCTTGACAGAATGGCGTGTGACATTTTACTTACACATAAAATTTTAATTTTGACATTCTGATTTTATTTATTTTTTAGATATTCTGTGAATTTTCATGTTTTTTTCCCCAGCAGGCTAATTTCTAACAGACATTTTCCATAGGATTAGGATTTTCACATGCTTGTATTTGTTGCACTGCCTTTGGACAGTTGCAGTAGGGGACCTGTTCACTATCACTATTAACCTATCTCTTATTTAACATGGCTTTAAAGTTACTGTCATAGTTAAGTATACAGCTATTTTAAACAAGTTAGTTCAGCAGTTTTTACAAACTAAGATGATACAACTAAGATATATTTCATTTAGAATCTATAAGTGGGGGGTGACTGTCAAAGAGTGCATTTATTGTATTTTCATATGCTTGTCAAAAATGACAATCTCATAGGAAATGAACTGACAGCCCCTTAATAGAGTACATTTTCTGAAAGTATATTGGACAAGATATCTTTTACATAGTATGAAAATGTTTTTATATAATGTATGTTTATCTTGACCTGTAATTTACAGAGTAATTTAAACCTCTGCATTTAATCCTTACAACAAAGCTTAGGGCGAAAGTTGTCGATGTCTTATTATGTTGCCATCACTGCTAGAGCTAATATTGTCATTACTGGCAAGTGGATTATCTCTGAGATCATTGCTTTCATTTTATTCCATTTGAAATAATGCCAATACAGTGTTGATTTTGCGTTCTAGAGGGCATCCTCTCCATTAGACTTAGTAGTCTAAAACTTTGTAGCAAATTTCACACCCGATTTATTGCAAAACAAGCCCTGATAAAAGTATGTTAGAAACAGAAGCAAACTCATTTCTATAGATTAATTTCCCCATTGTGCATTAAATCACTTTTAACAACCATTTTTATGATTATATTGCCTGTGATAAGACAGAATAGGGGCATAATGGTTGTTGTTCCACCTATGAATGTTATAATTATAGAGTTAAGAGATGTCTGTGATACAGATATTAAATATTAGTTCTACTTGTACTGACACCTTTCTTTACAAACAGCACTCTGTCTCCTTCAGATTAACTACAGTTAATCACCATGAACACACTTTTTAAAAATATTTTATTTGCCCTGCAATGTTTTTTGAAAGTCTTCACTTTATTGTAGCCTATTTTTGTGTTAAGATTTGAATTATTTATATCTAAGGTTTTCTTACGCTTTCTGCACTTTTGCCATTTTGAAAGTTAAATCTTTTAAAATTCTCTAGACGTGCTAAATTAAATGGCAGCTAACCTTTTTCATGTCCATTTTAATAGTGGTTGTGACAGAAAGGCTTGCTACACTTTTTATTATTGACTGTTACGTAGCTGTCCTTATTTTTTTAATTAAACTAATATTGAAATTTGAATTGTATTATTTTTCAGGTGGTGAGAACAGCTCTGGTGGATGCTGCAGGACTTGCTTCTCTTCTCACAACAGCGGAGGCTGTCATTGTTGATCTTCCAAAAGATGAAAGGGAAGGTGGTGGCATGGGAGGCATGGGTGGGATGGGAGGTATGGGTGGAATGGGAGGTATGATGTAGATATAAAAACAATACTGTTACTGACTTGAGGCTTTTTTGGAAAAGAACAATCTTTTCTATTGTTAAACAGTTAACTTGTTTAAGAAAAGGAACACATAAGATGCTACATACTACCTTGTCCCACACAAAATTTACATTTGCAAATTGTTGGCATATGTAATTGTGATTTCAAATTGTGTGATATTCAGGTTAGTTATTTGCATTCAGGATGTGACTGCCAGTTTCAGATAAAAGCAACAGCTTTTCAATACAATGAGGTTTTATCTATTAGTCTAAACAGATATTTTGGATAGTCATAAGACCAAAATTGGTGTTCATTCATTTATTGTGATTTCATTTCCAGACTTGCATGTTTTCATAAATTTGTATCATTGCTGTAAATTTAATTTGCCCTGAGAGTAAGGGAGAGCACAAATCTCATGAATCTGTTGACTAGTTCTCTTTGAAAGGTGTGTTTTTTTTTTTGTTTTTTTTTTAAAATCCATTTTAGAGAATCAGTTCATTCACAATATTAGTACTCACTGTTGAGGATTTGTATGTATGAGATGGATAACTGTTAAATAGTTGTGATAATAAAGGTTGATTTTTATATTTCTATCATTGTATCTGTTTACTTTTTATTTGAAGTTTTGTTTAGGCTCATTAAGTTTTGCTAAAATAACTCATTGTACTTCTTAAGCAATTTGACTACCATTACTGGTAATAAATTTAAGCTGGATAGCAGAATCGGCTTGAAAAGTTTCAGGACAATAAGGGCTAAATGACTTATTCAGCAGACGAGGCAAATTATTTGAAGTTTTTAAAGTGTGTATCCAGAAAGACAAAATGTAGTTCTGTCAGCTCCGGGTATTGATATTTTAACTACAGTACCGATAAAAAATGAGAATAGAAATTCAAGCATCACTTATACTTGAACTTACGCTCAGTTCACACGATCTAATTTTTTATCATTTGATTGTTTTCGTATGAAGCCTTGCCACAACTTTTTAATTACTTTATCATATTTGCATTTTTGTTTTGAAAAAATAAACCAGCACAATGTTTCGTTCATGCAAATTTGAAAGGAATTTGGTCGCATGTTTTTTGTTTTTTTTTTAATATTCCAAATGGTGACAGATATCTGAATTAATTTTCATTCTTGCTGTAGAAGTGCAGGAAATTAAAGCTCTGTGATATCTTGTTCCCTTGTGTTAACCCCCGTTGCAATGGGATGGCTAATTTTGTTCACTGGAAGTGAACAAATACTAAATGGCTTCATGAGCTTTATATTTACAAAGCTACCGGTACCGCTATTCTTAGTATTAGTGATGCTCGTGGATTCAGGAGTGGGCAGTCTCACGTTCAGAATGAGCATTTCAAGAAGCTTAGCTTTGTTTGAGAACACCACCGGTACCGCTATTCTTAGTATTAGTGATGCTCGTGGATTCAGGAGTGGGCAGTCTCACGTTCAGAATGAGCATTTCAAGAAGCTTAGCTTTGTTTGAGAACACCATTGTTTTGTTTCTATAGTCCTAGCTCATTTGAAAGCTCCAGATAGACGGCTATCAGCCCATCGAACTTTGTCTCAAGGATTTCCCACCACTACGCGAAATAGCCTGCCAAAACTGGTCATTTCAATTATATTGGACCTCGGCAGTTGCGACCACTGGCCGAACTTCGTATTTTGGCCATAATGTATATGTAAATGTGAGTGTGATCCTTGCATTTATTAATACCGGTAGCGTATGATTATTGGTTGGATTCGACATCGTTATTTCTTTCAATTGTGAAAATAGAAGCTTTGTGTACCGTACGCCGGATTGATTTCCATGAGATTTCAGTAGTTTTACTTATTTTCCATGATGTACCGGTATTGAACATAACCCTCGTGAACTGTTCACCGTTGGGAAGCAAAGTTAAGACCTAGGTCTCTCTTCCCCCCCCTCCCCCCCCCCCCCCCTCCCCTCACCCACCCACCCCCAATGATTTAAAACAATTCAGCTGCTCTAAGTCCGAGCCAAGGAACTTAAACGTTGTCTGGGAATCATTTTCACCGAGGACCGAACAAGGGATATAGAGATGGAGACAAGAGTGCAGCGGGCAAATGCACTCGGCTACCAAATCGCCCCTCTTCTACTAAGACATCTACGAATAAAGATGGCGTTGGAGAGCAAAGTCAGACTGATTAACGTTATATTTATTCCAACCCTTACCAGTGTCAATTCTGGGCTCTGATTGAAAGTCTCGAGATTAAAATATTCAACTAAGATTTAAAGGGTCGGTGTTATCCCAATCAACTAGTAGGCTATCAACAAATTTTGTTTGCCCAACTGGTCAGAATGCTTCACTGCAAGTTTTCAATAGCACTGAAAAGCAAGCACTCTGTTATTTAGGCCAGAGAAAAACCCCGACGTCGGTGGAGTGATTGTTAAGTACACCCCGTTAATGATCATCCACAAAATGAACATACAGTAAGCCCAACATCTTATGGCAATCCGTCTACTATCCCCGGTACCCACGATACCTCCACGTTAAAAATGCACAGAATTGTTTTCATTTTGATAGTGTGTATTTACATGTTTATGTGTGTCAATGTTAAACTTAAACAAATGAAACATTAGTAAAATATAAATTATACCGCATCACTATAAATATAAATGTGTGGCACGGTTATGAGAGGAATAATTGAATAAGGTGTACCGTAACCTGTCTGGTCAGGTTTAAGATAAATAGAAAAATCGGTGGGATGGGTTTGGGCAGTTTTTTTCCGTACGATTTGAGGCAGTTTAAAGATTATATTATATACCGGTATACAAAAAAAAGGGAGTTGGGGGGGGGGGGGGTGATATTTAGTCTGAGACTGACAGATTTATGTTTTTATTTATTCTTAAAGGTGGTGGAAAAAAAGTGGTGGTGGGGTTAGGAAACTTTAAAAAAAAATTACCACTGTTGATGTTTTTCATATATTGCAATAAATATATATATATATATATATATATTTCACATGTGTACGTTTTATAGCCTACCATACAACACTGAATCACACGTACCGTATTTAATACTATTAATAGATCGCGAAATTTTAAAAATCCGTTCGTCATCATGGAGACATGATTTATTTGACTAAACTACCATTTCATACTGAGAGAAGTGGGGGGACACACTATTTTAAACTTCAGGATCAGTGTTTCTTTTCAGTACTCACTTGGCGGCCCGCGAAGTAACAAAATATTATTTATCATTATTTTCTTCATAGCTTTTTCCCTGTTCTATCAACTTTAGGCCCGCACAAGTTTTTCATAAAGTATTACGACCCGCCTTGCATTCTGAGTTGTGCTGGCCTGCTTTAACCGATTACAATTAGTGGAACCTATTAAATTAACTATCGCTACGCTCGATATCTTTGTTAAGGGCTTACGGTGTTCGATTATATAAGTATCATATTGTTCCGAAAATTGGCTGCGTCTGAAGGCTTACTTTTTGCTGTTCGCATAAATCGATATTATTTTTTTATTATTAATTTTTTTTTTCAACATCACAAGTTTAAATACTTTAATAACACTGTATTAAATTACCTTTACATCAATAAAAAGCTATTCTAATATAGTTCTTGCTAATTATGAATCATGTAATATGTTTTCAAAAAATATTTCATCATAAAAGCAGGACCTTTAACGTAGGTATAGGTGTTATTTATAAATTGTAAGATCGCACCATGCTTTAAAAATATAGCCTAGTTATAAGCATAATTTTAAATGCACCCGATTCCACCAATGTTAAGCTAGATATGCCTATAATTTATAATAAAAACTTTAAAAAATGATTTTTTTCCCTTTTACAAAAATTAAAAATTTAACGAGCGCAAACAAGGGGGCGTCAATTAATTACGTCACAAGATGACTGGTCAGAATGTTAGCAGTAGTTAGCACACTTTGTAAGTGCAAGAGAAGTCAAAAGTTGGCATTCCTTCACCTGTAGTTTCTGTTGCAGGCATGGAAAAAGGACAAGGTTCAAGTGTCATGTGCAGTCAAGTTAAATGATATTGATAGAGTAAGAATACGATATTTTGAAAATTAGTGAATGTAACGGATTTGCAAAATCTGTAACATCTATTTTGCATCACAAGTCATGTTGACAAAACATGTTCAACAGAACCGACAATGCTCTCTTGAGCATAAGAAATTAGCACCTGCTCCTCAACAAAAAAGGATTCGACCAATGTGAGTAGCTGCAAGGAGATAGAGAGAGCTTATGACAATTGTTGCTCACAGCAACAATGCTTCTATTTTATGTGCTTAACGGTTAGATGAGGATGATGTTGACTTGTCTGGTATATCAGTGCCGCAAGATGAAAATGATCAGTCAGCTACCATAGATTATGCCCATCAGGGGCGTCTTTTCATGTTTTTTTCAGGGGTGGGGGGAGGCGGGCAAAACCAAAACTTGGTCGGCTTGTTAAGTTGTTAATTACTGGAGGCGCCAACAGTACATAGCAATTTAAATAAAGCCTGAAAATTAAGGAGTGTGGGCAAATGCCCCCTGCCCTACCCAAATGATGTCCCTGATGCCCATTTTTTTACGATAGAGCAAACCTGGCTACTCCTTAGGAAGATGATAGCAGCTAGAAACTATACTATCAGCTTTTACTGACAATAATCATCTTTATACCACAAAAAACAAACTTTCAATTGATTCTCCATTGTAAAATTTTAAGTGTAAAAACTTTCTTACTTGCTAATTAACACGCTAAAGATGTAATGAAATGGTTTTCCTACAATTTTATTGTCAATAAAATAGATCAGCTCAAAGTAAAATGTATTTATAAACTTATTTATAATATAATTCCTTTTTTTTTAATTGGGGGGGGGGGATAAAATGTTGACATAATGAAATAGGGGGGGGGGGGGGTTATAAAATGTTGACATAAGTAATTTGGACAGTTGTTGACATGGGGGGGGGAGGGCAAAATGCGTAAAAATTGTTGACGTAATTAATGGACGCCCCCCAAATAGGGCATGTTTAATCAATTATTATTAAATCGATAGCGATTGTGTCTTCTTTCAATGGCTACTTTTGTAACAGTTTCCTGAATAGCGTTGTTTAAAAAAAACAACAAAAAAAACGAAAAATTAAAAAAAACTTGATTTAATTATTAAATTCCTCACTGCTTTTCTCTCTTTTTTTTTAAATCAGAATAATAAACAATTTGCCGCACCTATTTGCACGCATTTTATAAAAGATTTTTTTTTCATAAGACGAGATTCCAGGAGAGAGCCAAAAAAAAAAACGATTTTGTGTTCTAGAATTTCGATTTTAAGTTAAGTCCATTTTCTTTGGTAATAATAATAGTTTTATTTTTAAAAAATGCTTAATTCTAAATTGCCAATTTAAAAATAATTTCTATGGTTAAGTATATAGAGGAGGCAATTTGTAATTGATCTGAATAAAGTCATCGGAGTTTGAAATTCCAAATAAACATTTCAATCAACTGAATATTGGGCAATTTATTCTGTTTTAAACTATCATTTCCCACAGATAAACAACACATTGATAAATATATGATTTATTTTGTAAACATATGTCTTCATAACATAATTATGCCGTTCATTGACGATTTTTAAAGAAATGACCAGTTTATAAAGCCCCTACAAATGTATAGACCTTTCATCAATCCATTTTTTAAACTCTTATAAAACTTGGAAATATTTAGAAACTGTAATTATTAGGCTATACGTAAATTATTTTTTAAAAATCCTTTAAATTAATTTCGCGTTTGTTCGTGGCTGGCTGGGTGGCAAAATCTTCGGACGGCTAATGGACACACTTCCCGTATTATAGCTATGGCGCTGAAACAGGGCACATTTACTCGTTGCCGATGAGAAAAAATATTCTTCTAAATTTTCAGCCCCACACTCAACTCCAACACACCCAGATTAATTTGTTCCTAGTTTTTTAAAGGGAACATGAAGTCATAAAGGAAAATTTCCGATAACTGCGCTAAATGACATTCTTTAAAAAAAATATAGCCTATATATCGCAAGTGAGTTTGGTGCGTAATGTGCTCTGTTATGAAATAGTTGATGAAATAAATATGTGGTGTAAAAGGGGATGGGTTATTAGAATATTATCAGGGGCTTGACAAAAAATGTGCTGTTGCGAGCCGGAAAAGGGGGGGGGCACTAATTGGGGTTCTTATAAAATGCATTACTTGTTTGCCTGTTTTGTCAAATTTATAGCCCCCCCCCCCGCCTTAATCGATATTACATTTTATAAAGGATTCAATTTATTTCATTTGCGTTCAACGCGTAAAATGATGCTAGCAGTGCTCTTTTTGTGATGGAATCTTTCTTGGAAGGAATGTTTGTATTTTAAAAAATTATTTATCCATTATAAAGTTTACAATAAAATTAGTTTAAAAAAAATTACAAACCAAAATTACTATTTAGTTATATAAAAAAATATTTGTGTAAATAAACAGGTGAAGCAGAACCATCGCTTGCCATTTCAGGGCCACGTGTCATTTTTTTCAGTGCAGTCCTCCCCCTACGTTGCATTCAAATGTGATGATTAACAAAAGTAACCACATCACAACTTTAAGCCCCTAAAATATCCGAGGTCCACTGCAGCCATAGGGATTTCAGGGCCCACACTATTGCTCTGAGGTCAAGTGACATATACATTTTTAACTAGCATCTCTCCCGTTACTGTCCGATTATGTAGCATAAAGAAAAACTAAATTCAGGTGTGTGATAAAATGCATTCTTGAAATTTGAATTCATCAAAAATTATTTTTGTTTTCTTTACATTTTTTTTTGGGGGGGGGGGGGGTGTGTTTT